TGTATAACTCTTAGGGCAGAAAAACAATGTCACCACCAAAAAAGAGTGGCAAAGAAAATATCTGTAATTACCACAAGCTTATAGTAGGGCTGGAAGCAGGCAGTAATGAATTTTAGTCAGGTAATTTTCATACCTGAAATTGACACATCAATCTTGACTGGCGATTAATCCTTGTCAGAATATGATTTCTCCCAGTTAAAAATTGAATTTTGCTAAAATTTTCCCAGGCTCCGAAAGCCTGAACTTCACAAGATTTGCCTCAGGGGACATGGGACTGTCATACAGAGAACCAGCCTGATTGCCGCGATGAATTAGGCTTCTAATATACTGCTTATGATAACGGAGATGGCCAAGGAACTACTAGAGCGTGTAATGTTAAACTACTATACCATAACATAGCTATCGTAGTTGCATACCCTAGAATAGGGAAGGATTTGTTGGAACAAGATTTTTGACACACTTATGTCAATGTGCATATATTTTTATTATGAAACTGTTTAGGGTAGCGCTATGAAGTATGACTGCATTAACGTTTCTGTCAGAATTGCCTAAAGCCTGAGGCATTTCCTTCTCTTGAAAGGTGCAGAATGTATATTGGCACTAAGGAATATCTTCCATGGGCTTCTTCTACATGGGCCTGGGGAAGTCTTTTTAGATATGTGGTGAGAAGGCAAGAGGTCAAGGTCATGAGATAATATGTAAAATTAGAAGCATTTGTCACTTCACTTATTCAAAAACAATGGATGTATTTTTTATCCTTTTTCCTTTTCCATGGAAACAATTCTGACTTAGCTGAAAAAACAAAGATGTCTAAATTTGGTCTGACACAGGATTCCAGGTGAATACTTTATTAAGTACTGATGGATTAAAACCAGATATAGATCATCTAGATAATCTAAACAAGATATTTAAGGTTTGAGAACCAGAAAAATTGATAAACAAATTCATATTTTCAGACAATTCATAGGTCATAAGCCAATGACAGCTTGGGGCAAGATCTAAACAAAAAGTTAAAAATATAATAATGGTTTTAAAGCAATTTCAATGTGTATCCAAAATTTGTAATTTGTTATATGTGACAGGTGAAATTTATACATAATCATGGTCAGATTTATGGTGGTCAGAAGACCCTCACTGTTTAGCACAATTTCAAAATGATTCCTGGTTTGTGTTTTGAATCTTTGTCCTGGCATTCAGTGTGCATGGGGCGGTCAGGTAGCCTAGTGGTTAAAGCGTTTGCTCGTCACGTCGATGACCCGGGTTCAATTCCCGACATTGGTTAATTGTGTGAAGCCAATTTCTGGTGTCCCCTGCCGTGATATTGCTGGAATATTGCTAAAAGCTGTGAAAAACATACTCACTCACTCACTCACTCAGTGTGCACGTGTTAAGGAAACCAGGTGCAAAATCAATGTTTGATAAAATCATACAGAGTTATTTATTTTTCTGTCATTTTCATGTTTTATTGCTCGTAGTAAATGGCTGATTTTGACAAATAATTTATTTCTCTTTGCCAAGCATTCCTGTGTGTTTACCTACACAGAATATTAATGTAGTCACTGATGTGCTGGAAATGATAAGGGCGCCGTCAGCTGCATCACCTAACTGATTCACAAACATGGCATGCAGCAAGCTACATGACATTCTATATTTGACTTACTACCACGAGTCATGTGAAAACTTCAGTTGTGATCAGTTTATCCACAGTGTGATGCGTGCATGCTTCATTGATGATATATGCATTCAATTTCTATTGTGTACACACTCCACAGATATTTCAAAACATTTATTGGAGTGTCTCAGTCTCCGCTTGTTCCCAGTGTGTGACTTCAGACCACATAAAAACAGCTGTAGGTGTTTAAGTTGGAGGGAAAGTGTCTACATCCATTTCCCATATGCGTAATTGCTATTATAATCATAGGCTCGGGGCCAGATCGGGACTTATGTCTCAGCACCCTTTAAACCCACATTAACTTTGTCATCACATGAACGTTTCAAACTATGGAAAAATAGAAACAATGTCATGTGAAATATAAGGTTGAAGACGAAACATTGGAAGGGGCAATTAGGAGATTTGTCACGACTGTAGGCAGAATGAAGGTGTTGAGATGCTGGTTTGCCTACACTAGGCTCTGGTTAATTAGGCTGTCAGTGCTTGGTTTAAGTTTAAATGTTAGTCATTAGTGAATGTGATAACTTGAAATTTCCCACAAGGATTGAAAAATTGCGCATACAGGTAATACCTTCCAATATTTCACATGTGCAGAACAGCAACTCTCAAAGCTGATTGGTCAGTTAATGGAATATGACAAGACCTTATACTGGATTGGAGAGAACAATATAATATTGTGTGATCTATTGTTTATGATGTCCAAAGTTTATACTCGTCCACTTTTAGAACAATACGTTGGGATGTATATGAAATAACCTAGCTGGGCTATTGATGTCTGCCATTGATGTCGCTCACTCACTTCCTCACTCCTTCACACATGCACTCACTCACTCACTCACTCACTCACACATGCACTCTCACTCACTCACTCACTCACTCCTTCACTCACTCACTCACTCCTTCACACATGCAGTCTCACTCACTCACTCACTCACTCACTCCTTCACTCACTCACTCACTCACTCCTTCACACATGCACTCACTCACTCACTCACACATGCACCCAGAAAAAAAGACTAAAAGATAATAGTATTACCTACTCGTAACTCTGAAATAGAGATATCTGTCCCCAAGGCTCCAATCTTACAAAATCAATTCATGAAGTACAGATAATACATAATTCTGAGTTGTTTGGCAGTTATTCTCTAATTATGATAGTCTTATATACAGTTTATGTGCTTCCTATACGTGTTTTGTACAGGCAAAGTTAAGGAAATTGTAATATACTTATGAATAAAGTGAATGCCGCTTAAACCTTTAAACTTTGTGTATAAGATCATACGGGTATGAGGATTTCACTCAAATCCTTATATCGGTAATGTCTCATATTGATATCTCCAAGTATGTGTGATATACCTTGAGTGACTGATTTATAACAGCCTGTTTGTAATGCATATCATTTAATGCCTTTGAATCCTGCATATGCCAGATATTTCATGTCAGAAATGACAATATTGGATAATTTAGATTGATGAAAATGGATGATATCTTGATTTAATAAAGACTTAGCACTTATTTCTTGATAGCATGATACAGATTGCATAGATACAAGGCCACTTTATATGTTCTGTGGTGAACAGCTTGGAGTAGGGAGATATAACAAGATATTCCTCAAAGGCGCTATAACTGTCATAACTCTCTGCTTTATTGTACTGATAGACTTCTGATAGTCACAGTGTGAAGATCACTTTGTAGAATCTGGGTGAAAATGTTATTCAAATAAATAATTCTTTTTTCAAGCATGTCATGGGATGAAATGGACTCCAGCAAACAGCTCTTTCCAGAAAAATGCATTCTGTTCTTAGATGAAGTCGTATAAGGTCCATAGGAAGATAGCTTTTATATCAGTGCAAGAGCTATCATTATGGCATTATTTCTTTTGCATACTCACCTCTACATATCTTTTTAATCATTATCATTTGAAAACTCTTAACTTTTCGGACTAAACTGTCATAATAATTTGCAGATAGTTCCCACACAATAAACATCTGACATGATAATGTATCAGCTTGAGTAAGAACATATGTACTAAGTTGCATTTTATAATAATACAGGTACAGTTGTGGGTATTAACAGAAGTGGAGTGAGTGTGTGACATGTACACAATGTAGGTGATACTGTGCCTGTCAGTCACAGCTGATGTACTCTCCTCGCAGATCTCTCACTTGAAATGTCAGTATTTAGTGCGGGGCATTACAAGTGGCATGGGGTGTGTGAGATCTACACTGTTAATTTAGCATAATAAATTCACTGATGATTTAACCAACAGAATCAACTGATGACTCATGATTTTCCTCGGTGAAAAACAGGCATGAGAAAGTCGGCAGGAGTTACATTATATACACATTTAAATCAGTTCACCTCTTCAGCGGGTTCAGACAGTTTGTAGCCCTTGGGAATACTTCACTTGTCGTCTGGAAATTATCTATTTAACCCCACAAAGCCTCCACTATATTCAGCCACATTTATTGCAATGTTGTTGATTGTATGACTTCTGACATGTTTCCATGTACTTATACAAAATGAGTTGTGAAGAATAGCTACAAGAACATTAAATTATTTACCTTTCCCTTGAAAGTTACATATATTTGTGACATGAAATGAAAGAAACTTGATGGTGTCTACCTTATAGCGGATTTCTCAGCCAACCATCAATGCATTTTTATGTATCATGCATGACATGTGCACCCTTCTAAGTCTATTTATGTGTATTGAATCAGATTGTATTGAAATAGAGACTGTGGGAACAGCTGTTAATCTGAACTCTTCGGTTCTCATGATAGAAACTAGATGCCATCTACAGTCTCAGTATTATGCTTGTGTTTGTGTTATGGCATAAATAAAAGCGACGAAACCTGTTCCATAATCAAAAGAAATCGGTGCTAAAAGCAGAGTCCATTGTACGATTACTACTTTATAATAAGCATGTGTTTATTATTCACGATCAAATAGTGAAGACACCAGGCGAAAAGGTGAAAGATGCGTCCTTTTCTTTCTTGTTTTCAGGAAGCCTTAGGCATCATGTTAGAAAGATAATGCGGTCTACATGCAGTTCGGTATAATGCAGAGTTCAAAAGTAAAAGTATAACCGTAACCAAAAATGAACAACATTTGGGGGTATGTAATGATGTGACTCAAAGGTCTGAATGTGTTATCTTTTAAGTTGGTGACCTTGCCTGTGAAAGATCGTGGCATCCTTTTCTAAAGTTTGGGCAAGACTATTTTGCATATTTTGTACTAAAAGAACTTTCAAGCTGTGACTTAATTGCACTATGTACTCCTTATAGATACATTATCAGAAAAATAATTGAAAAATATAGGTACTGACCCCCAAACTGGCATGACAGTTGATGTTCACCTCTTGTGTGAGATCTGTAACACAATATTTGTGAGTGAGTGAGTGAGTTGGTTTTATGCTGCTTTGAATGACACTTCAACGGTATCATGGCATGTCGGCTTATTGTGGGATAGAAAGCTCAAAGTGATGCAGGTCTTAGACATTTAGCACTGTAGTAAGACCCACATGAAAGGGAATGGTGCTGACAAACCTAGAAACATAATCAGGACGAACTGGGATTCAAACCCACGATCATAGGTTTCAGGCACACCTATGGGACACACCTCTACACAGCAAATTGTGGCACCTTAGACAACTAGGCAATCCATACCCCTGTTATACAATATTAATAATGGGAACTTGTGAAGAAAGGTGAAATAAATCTGTATTTCTCTAGTCTATAAATATTTACTTTCTCTGCGGTGCTATCTCTCTTAATCCTATAGTCGTTGTTTATGCAGTACCACTGTATTTGCAGATATTACTTGTAATACATTGCCAAAGGTAACAAATCAGATGAAAGTTTCATTAAGTTGGAGCGTATCTTAACAATATTTTCACAACAAGTCATAAAGACAAGCAAGACATCCTCACTGTTATCTATATTCATGTACAGTTCAGTCTTTCAGTACTTATCAAGTCTCTACCACCAACAGTGTGTTTATGTTTCTAGATGAGAAACTTTTGAAGGGATTCTCTCCAGTATTGTGTGTATCATTTCTTGTATCTTTAATGGTTATCGTTTTATATTTTTTATGTTTGAAACCATTACCATTTCATGACAATGTGGGTAATAGATACAGCCAAACAGTGCCAACAGGGCAAGAAGAAATTATGTGACTTCTTTCATATTATTGTCTACAGTCTTTTTGTGTCAGTGATTAAATACACAGGCTGTGTTGTTATTATTGTTGACATATTTGTGACCCAACATGAGAAATGGGACCTTATACATACTTGGATACAATTGTACTGTGACGTTTGACGTCAACTTACGTCAGTGAAGATCACCATGTTTGCGGACTGTGCAAAAATATCTTATTTTTCTCTTGTTAGTTCATAATGTAATAAAAACATTATCACAAAACCTTTCAGCATACATATCTGCTTCCAATTCATCAGAAATTATGCATAAAAACAGTAATTATTGCATAAATAGTTTTAAGTCAGAAAATGAGTCCAAATGTTTGATGTCATGTATCTCTGTAATAGATATGAATTGAAGCTTGTGATTTTTTTATTTTGGTGTTGAAGATACTGTAGTTTTATAATATAATGAAAAGTCAAAATGTGATTTTTTACCCATAAAGTCCCTAATCTCCTGGAGGGTCACATTTATTTATGTAATTGACTTCAGTATGCTATATGGTTTTACACAGTGTGCACACCACTTTTTACATGAAAAAAATGGGGGTTTGGGTTGCATTATTGCGCTGATCGATGTCACAGATTTCGTGTTATTGTCTACAGTTTATTAATGATTACAAAAGCAGTCTGTGACATAAATGATAACTTATTTACTAAAAAGAATTGTCATCATCATGCAATTCAGATGCACACAGTCAATTCTTAAATGTACAATTGCTACTCCTGTAGTCAATGTGTATATTCTTTAACTTAAACAAGAGGATGTTCTTTTCCTATAGTCATTGTATGATATTCTTTAAGACGACGAGAGGCTTATAAACATGTAGAAGCTCTTTTGGCCATTGTATGATATACTTCAAGATGACAAGAGGCTAACATGTAGAAGCTCTTTTGGCCATTGTATGACATTCTTCACGATGACAAGAGGCTGACATGTAGAATCTCTTGTGACCATTGTATGACATTCTTCACGATGACAAGAGGCAAACATGTAGAATCTCTTTTGGCCATTGTATGACATTCTTCACGATGACAAGAGGCTAACATGTAGAAGCTTTTTGGGCCATTGTAAGACATTCTTCAAGATGACAAGAGGCTAACATGTAGAAGCTCTTGTGGCCATTGTATGACATTCTTCACGATGACAAGAGGCTAACATGTAGAATCTCTTGTAGCCATTGTATGACATTCTTCACGATGACAAGAGGCTAACATGTAGAAGCTCTTGTGGCCATTGTATATACTTCAAGATGACAAGAGGCTAACATGTAAAAGCTCTAGTTGCCATTGTATGACATTCTTCAAGATGACAAGAGGCTGACATGTAGCCATTGTATGATATGCTTGAAGATGACAAACATGTAGAAGCTCTTGTAGCCATTGTATATGCTTGAAGATGACAAGAGGCTAACATGTAGAAGCTCTTTTGGCCATTGTATGACATTCTTCAAGATGACAAGAGGCTAACATGTAGAAGCCCTTGTGACCATTGTATGACATTCTTCACGATGACAAGAGGCTGACATGTAGAATCTCTTGTGGCCATTGTATGACATTCTTCACGATGACAAGAGATTGACATGTAGAATCTCTTGTGGCCATTGTATGACATTCCTCACGATGACAAGAGGCTAACATGTAGAAGCTCTTGTAGCCATTGTATATGCTTGAAGATGACAAGAGGCTAACATGTAGAAGCTCTTGTGGCCATTGTATGATATACTTCAAGATGACCAGCGGCTAACATGAAGCCTTCGTATGATATACTTCAAGATGACAAAAGGCTGACATGTAGAAGCTGTTGTGGCTATTGTATATGCTTCAAGATGACCAGAGGCTAGCATGCAGAAAGTCTTGAAGAAGTAGAAGAAATTTGATGATATACTTCAGGAGAAATAAAGAGGCTAACAACTATAATAAGGCAATGCTATTGGATTTGGATACAATAGTCCCAACACTAACATTGATTCATGCACACAGGCATTCTGTGTGGAATGTGATTAATTTGTTATGTCTTAACAGGTTTCAGATCACTGCCGGACATCAGAAGACAGGGAATGTAAAGGTCATCTTTAATGCACCAGACTCCAGGCTGGCCATCTAAAAAGTACTGTATTTGACACATTTTGCACTCTGGGCCCCATACCACTATGAGATTTTAGCACAAAGATCATTGTAACTCCCATCCTTTAACATAGCCTTAAGATAGTCATAGCTCTAAGATCGATTTGTGAAACACAATAAGAGCATGTGTATGCCATTTCTGTTTGATATTTTCATATTGAAGCATATGGATACAGACACTTGAGATGGGGGACACATCTTTTATTCGTATAAGAACATTGGGACATAGTTCCAGTGGCCTATGACTGGGTAATAAATTGCCCATGAAAAGTTGTACCCCTAAGCTGAGCCAGTGGATTTCCATCCATTCATCTGTCCATCCTAACAAGACCTTCCAATTCTTCTCAAAAACTAATGATCATATTGGTATCGTATTCTCACACCCTTATCTAAATAGCCCTGAATATAATCTACAAAGTACAGTTTTCTGTTTGAAAAATTTGAAATGGGACAATTTTCTGTTCTATAAATTGTTACTTATGAATTAAATATTTGAAAAAAGAAATCACTGGAGACTTCATGGTGTGGCTTTATCTGACTTCATGATCTTCAGGATTGGGTCTCTCTGACATTCACATCAGCTCTGTCTAAGGTTAAGGTTACAAAGGTAACAGAATCAAAGACAGTATTAACCTTAGGATTATTTATTTCAGTTGTCATGATAAACAAGGGACCCGTGAAGATCCGGGGTAGAATAGGTCTTCAGCAACCCATGCTTGCCATAAAAGGCGATAATGCTGTAAGAGGCGACTAACGGGGTCAGGTGGTCAGGCTCGCTGTCTTGATTGATGCATGTCATCGATCCCAAGTGCGTGGATCGATGCTAATGATGTCAATCACTGGATTGTCTGGTCCAGACTTGATTATTTATAGACCGTCGTCGTATAGCTGAACTATTGCTGAGTGCGGCGTTAAACAACAAACAAACGAACAAAATAACAAGGTCAATAAATTACTTGTATTTTTTCATCTTATCTCTGGTTTCTCTAGCATCACTGTTAAGAACTGTCACTCATCAAAGGTTTGTGATCACAATATTTCAAAATCATGCATGCAATAATTTGAGGGCAGGAAATATTTATTGTTTATAATGAGTGCCTGTGTTCACATGGTGTTTCATCATGAATAGAAGAACCATAATGATATAGTCCTTAATATTTGTAACCTCATTAAGATTCAAGTAAAGAATAGGATGTATCAAAAACTGTGGAAAGGGTCCCCAGTGACTCATGCACTATCATAAAATATGCATTGGATTGTTGCTCATATTATCATCAATTGATTTGTCTATAGACTTGAATTTACACAGTGATCTGTACTGTAACTGTCATTTTGCTGGTTGTATTTGTAAAAATGCGAGAAATAACAGGAAAGCCCAAAGTGATGCAGGTTTCTTGGTGAAACCCACAAGCATGGGTATGGTGGCGACAAACCTTGAAACATAATTGGGGCGAACTGAGATTCACAGCCATGATCAGAGGTTTCTGACATGCACAGGGGAAGCAACTCAGAACAGCAAATTACGATGCCTTAGACGACAGAGCCACCCATGCCCCCACTTGCAAATGTAAGCAGTGATACGCATTATATAATGCCAAATTAATTTATTGTCACTTCTCTGAAATACAAAAACACAATGTCCCCCCTCTGTATCCTGTAGATAACATCGTGGGTCAAAAGCTTTTAAATAAACATCTCCAGAATTTAATGTCATGAGTGCCTAGCGTAAGCCTGAAATGTATCAAATAAGGTAATGATGATAACTACTGCACATGATGGTCTTTGCCTCAGGGCTATGTTTATCCTGTGAGTAATATTTCGCTCTTTCTTACCACCTAGGTGAATTTACTGGCTTCCCTTCTTATCTTCACCAAGCAAATTTGAAGTGACAGTATTTGTGCCAAGAATTGCCATCTTTACAGATTAGTGGTAACTAGAACCAAGAATGCTATGCCCAATGGAACATGGTCTCTGATCTATGAGGAAAAACATATTCTAAGTACTATGCATGACTGGATGTTGCAGATGGTTTTTCAAATGGTTTTATGAATTGAAATTTATAGTACCAGTAGGCATATGTGTTTAGTTTTAATCATCATGCAACCTAAAATAATTGCAGATGTTTTGAAAGTTAAATGCAAGTCAAGTGACAGCCTAGTGATTGAAAAGCTACATGTCTGAATACAAAATGACAGCATTTGGACCATTAGATTATTTGGGCTTGTAGAATGGCTATTTTGTTTTACTGGTGGAAGAAAAACCTTGAAATGTAAGGATTGCATGCCTATCTTGTGAGAAGTGGTTTAGCCTTGTGTTTCCCCATGTTGTTTCAAGTGAACAATTGACATGCCCTTGCATGTGTTTGTGAGGGTACCACTGGTGGGGCAGGATGTGCTCACCTTTTACTGAACACCAGGTATCACTATTGGGTAGTGGCTCAAAAACACATACACATGATATAGTGGGTATCGTACAATGGACTACAATGGATTTCTTATGAATATGAATCAGTTTTGTCACTTTTGTTTAACACAAGTGCTCATCATGCTGCAACGCCCTGGTTGTGAAGCCCATTGTTGGTGTCACCTGCTGTAATATTGCAGGATGACTATAACATACTCACTTCCCCATTTTGTACTGATAAGGGTCTGACTCACTTACCCATCTTGTACTCATAATGGCCTGACTCACTTACCCATCTTGTACTGATAAGGGTCTGACTCACTTACCCATCTTGTACTGACAAGGGTCTGACTCACTTATCCATCTTGTACTGATAAGGGTCTGACTCACTTACCCATCTTGTACTGACAAGGGTCTGACTCACTTAACCATCTTGTACTGATAAGGGTCTGACTCACTTATCCATCTTGTACTGATAAGGGTCTGACTCACTTACCCATCTTGTACTGACAAGGGTCTGACTCACTTAAACATCTTGTACTGATAAGGGTCTGACTCACTTACCCATCTTGTACTGATAAGGGTCTGACTCACTTACCCATCTTGTACTGACAAGTGTCTGACTCACTTACCCATTTTGTACTGATAAGGGCCTGACTAACTTCCCCATCTTGTACTGACAAGGGTCTGACTCACTTACCCATTTTGTACTGATAAGGGTCTGACTCAATTATCCACCTTGTACTGATAAGGTTGGTTGGTTGCTTTGTTGTTTAACGCCGCACTCAGCAATATTCCAGCTATATGACGGCGGTCTGTAAATAATCAAGTCTGGACCAGACAATCCAGTGATTGATATCTTGAGCATCGATCCATGCAATTGAGATCAATGACATGCATCAACCAAGTCAGCGAGCCTGACCACCCGATCCCATTAGTCGCCTTTTACGACAAGCATAGTCACCTTTTACGGCAAGCATGGGTTGCTGAAGACCTGCTCTATCCCGGAATCTTCACGGGTTGTACTGATAAGGGCCTGACTCACTTCCCCATCTTGTACTGACAAGGGTCTGACTCACTTAACCACCTTGTACTGATAAGGGTCTGACTCACTTACCCATCTTGTACTGACAAGGGCCTGTTAATTGAATATGACAGGTCACCAATGATGATGGAAAATTCAGGGGCAGTTAAGAAAAAACACAATTTTAAGGAAATCTTTAAAAAATTGACATGCATTTGGGAAGGGTTGACAACAATAATTTGGGGAATGCACATATTTTAGTGCCTAAATATCTTTGCCAATATTACCGCCTCCAACAACATTCAATATTAAGTAAAACAGATATTAATAGACATGATATCAGTGTAATGATGTGTCAGACCATCTGCCTGGAGAGAGGAAGGTCATTGCTTCAATCCCCTGGTAGCATCATACTAAAAGGTGGTACTTGTTGTTACCCTACTTGGTATGAATAGGGGAATAAAACAAGGATTGGTCAGCTCGGAGTCAATATACTGTGTCCGAGTGGAGTATCCATGTTAAACTGCAAAATTGTATCTCAATGTGAAAGCACCATACAACCAGTTACCAGCAGCCACACACACAAACATGCATGCCCGTAACTGTATAAGTGAAATAATCTTGAATAGGACGTTAAACCCCGTATCACCTCATCTTAACTAGACATGTAGTAATGAATCCTTAGAATGGCCTGCTGACAACCATGTCCTGACAGGTGTGTACTTCAAGCATGACAAAATACTTACCTATCGGGTATGATGGTCTTCGGGGATTTCAACACCAGCAGTCACCTGGAAACAGCACAAAGATTTACTTAGCAAGTCTAATTTAATTGCCAATTGAGTATATCATCTTTTATCTTCCTTATTAGCGTTGTCTATGAGCTGCATTTCGAGTCATGCATGATAGAACACCATGCAGGAAGAAGATACAGCACACACAAACACCAGATTATAGTGCTTAATGATGGTATTTGATGCCATTTAAGAGTTATTTTGACTTTCTTATTTAACAAATTTATATTATTTATAAACTATCACCTTTAGTTTCAACTTGACACATAAACAAATATCAGTTTTCTAGGTCAGTTAACCAATAGTTTGATCTTGTATTGGGATACTGTGGCATAGACAACATATATAATAGTATTTTTGTAACACTGGGAAAAACAATTTGGACATTTATGTTTTTGAACACACAATGCCATTTAGAAAGTGGTCAGATGTAACAAATGTTATATTTGGGATAACACTTTCTTTGTAAAGTACAGATTCTCATACTTTTATGAGACTCAACGAGAATCTGCACTTTACAAAGAAAGTGTTATCCCAAATATAACATTTGTTACATTTGTGTCATATTTTATTCATTTATGACATTAAATGACAGTAAATTAATGGCCCTGAAAATAAGATGAGGAAGCATTTGTAGTCTAGGTACTGTCAATCATCTTAAAGAAGCAGTGCATCTGTGTTATTCTCCACAAGGATTAATGTTCAACTATTTGTGAACACCTGGTGTAATCAGTGATCTTTCATATAATTTACACCACTGTCGTGCCTTTTATGCCCAATGGAATCTGTTTCAGCAGAGACCAGTGAAGATTCCGGGGTAGAATAGGTCTTCAGCAACCCATACTTGCCGTAAAAGGCGACTATACTTGTCGTCAAAGGCGACTAACGGGATCGGGTGGTCAGACTCACTGACTTGGTTGATACATGTCATCGATCCCAATTGCGTGGATCGATGCTCATGATGTCAATCACTGGATTGTCTGGACCAGACTCGATTATGTTACAGACCGCCGTCAAATAGCTGGAATATTGCTGAGTATGGCGTTAAACAACAAACAAACAAAAACAAAAATGTTTCGAGACTGATTATTCTGTGGCATTAGGGGTGTCACGATAAATCAAAATATCGATATATTGCTGTTTTTTTGGGGGTAAGCACAAAAAGTCAATAAATCGATTGTTAAATCAGTTTCCGATCAATAGTATCGATTTCAGTTAGAAATATCAATAGTTTCAATTGTATTTACCATATCATGCGATTGAGTCACCGAAACACACTCGTGTACACAGCTGAGTGAGGATTAGAGTTAACTGCCCTTGATGCTTAGCAACTGGTCTTTCTTTAAGTAAAATGTCAGAGGGTGACAGTCAAGTGGAGTTTGTGACAAACCTTGGTGGAAATTTGAGTGTTTGGAAGTATTTTGGCTATGTTAAAGAAAATCAAATCTATCTTAAATGATACACTGAAAACTATCGCAATAGTTGCTTGCAATATCAATAGTTATCGCAATAGTTTCTTTTAATATCAATAGTAATCGCAATAGTGATTTACAGACCAATAGTCACCCTTATGTGGCGTTGACATTTTTTATTAATAAATTGTTACTTAACCCTTGTCATGTAAATTTGGCTGTGTAATCTTTGATCCAGAGAAGAGAATAAGAGGAAGTGACATTCTTAGCCTAGCTAGGGTTAGGCTAGGCATCTCAGTTATGTGTAGATTTGATAGAGATGTACTATCAAAATACATGAAGATGTGCTTACTGGATGTGTATAGAGTAGATTGACGTATAATTTTATGTATGATATATGACAATTTTGCCTGGAGTGGCAAGAAGTGACCCATGTCCGCATGATTGATAAGGGTTGGGGTCGGCCCTACAGAATGTTATTGTGGGCTGTGGGAAAATACACTGTTTTCAAGCTGTACCTCTTCACATACAAGAGGATTCAGGGTTCATCTGTCATTGATTGGAATATTTGTAGTACCTAGAATCTAGACAACTGACATGCATTCTGTAATGGGCCAGCTGGGCAGCCTAATGATGTGTGCTCCCATCTCAGTGGAGGCTTTCCTTTCTATTGTCCACATGGGTACAATTTGCCAAGTCGACATCTACTTGGACAAAATTTGTGAAGGCTACTTGAGTGTTATGGATACTGCTACAAAGTTGTCATGTAGAAAGTAAAATCCTATTGATTCCTTCTGTGATTGAATTCAGAGAGTTAGTGACACTTTCCTGTAGTTCATCGAGTTCATGTGATCTCATGTTTTGTCTTTGTTAACCTGAAGCCAACTTATGTAAAGCGGGAACATTGCATAGGCGATCACAGCAGTGGTGTCCTAAACATTGGCTTATATACCTTTGTTTGGAAGTAATGAAATATCGTCATGGCAACCATTTTGGCAAAGTTATTTTTGCTCATTGCAGCTTCTATTCACAAGTGTTTGTGTGTGTAATTGCTAGGTATTTAACAATTCATCAAATTGTCGATGCAGCACAGTTGTCCAATGCCCAGTGGCAGCACATCGATGAAACACTATCAGAGTTCATTCTAGGCTGCACCATGGCACCATTGGCGCTTTCAATTTTTTCCAAATGGCATAAATTGAAGGGCCATGATGGTGATGGCGACTAACAGGATCGGGTGGTCAGACTCGCTGACTTGGTTGATGCATGTCATCGATTCCAATTTGATACCTACACACTCACTCACTCTTAGGGCTCATCATTGGCATTTGGAAATTATGTATCATGTATAGTATCAACAAAGGCCCTTCAGATAAAGGGACTGAAAAAGGCTTGTATGAGTTTATTGAAGAAGTCAACTTGAACAGTTGGAAAGGATGACAGGTGCACTAAATAAAGTTTTTTGAAGCCATGGGAATTTCTGAATTTGAAGGTGAGCAGTATTCTTTCAGAATAAAGAACATCTTTGCCTTAGATTAATCTATATCATAATCAATTTGAAATATAAATGTTATCAGAAATATTCTGACTACTAGAATTTCACCTTTTAGCATTATGTCAAAATAAGACGTTTCTTTGGACATCAACCTATCAGAAGTATTCACGAGGCAGGTCCTTTGAAATGGACAGAAGCACAAGATACACCTACAACGGGTGTGCCTGTGTAGAAATACCGTATTCGACGTAATAAGCGCCCCGCTCTAATAAGCGCCCACGGCGATATTTGCTAATATATTGGATAGTGAACAATCCCAATCAGCACCCCTTCCGATTGATCAATGTACACAAGACTTATTTATTTGTGTATAACACGCACTTGTGTGTTATATGCACCCTTAATTATGGGAAATTAAATTCTGGAAAAATATATCTGTCGTATGTCAACATTTCAGGCTGTCAGCATAAACCACGAAATTTACGATCTTTCAGCTGTTTTTTTTCACCAAAATAATATTCTAATAAGAGCCCTCTATTTCTAATTTTGAGAGCGCCCTGGGCGCTTGTTACGTCGAATACGGTAGTACCAATTATCGAAGGGAATCATATGCATGTGTTCTTGAATCCAGGCCAGAATTAAGTACCCTCTTATATATAACCTTGAAGCTAACCTTTCCCGAGATAGTCATAAATATCTTAGTAATATGAACACACTATGTGAAGGTAGTTGGCATCAGAGGTGTGTTCAGGAGGGTGGGCAATCACACGAGCGTACAGCGAAGCAATATGATTCGTTCCTGAATGGAAGGCGCATACTCTCACGGCACAGCATCCAAAATGGCATCGACTGGGATCAAAACAGCCCTATGCACAAGTCTTATAGGTTCACAAACATTATTGTTTCATCTACAAGTGTCAAAGATTATTCCATTTAATTTCATCACAAGTATGATTGGTTCATACTTTGATTTTCATGATAACAAAGTGTATATTTTTAAAATTGTAAATAGATGTAATGGTAGTCTAAAAGATTATTCTTTAGCCATCGGTTCGATTTTGGTCAATGGCAAACATTTGATTGATGTGCGATGCCATCTTGGATGACTAGCCAACTACCTCCCTGGCTTGGCTGCGAGTAAACGTGTGCGATCTTGTAGTCAGCCATGTTCAACAGCATGTATGTGTAATATATCATAATCACCCACCCTCATGAACAGGCCTCAAATTTTAAAGATGAATCTCTTAACTGTTTTTAGGCCTAGGGAGACTTATTTTTGTTGATCTGATCCAAATTTATTGTAATATTAGTCCAAAGATATGTTTATTCATTTTAAGCTCTTTATGAAAAAAGTAACCAAATCTAGTTCATAATTGTGTCTCATTGTTGCAAGACCTACAATTCTGAAAAAAATATACATTATATTTGGTTGTTCTGGTTAATGAGATAGTTTGGTAATGTCTACCCTAGTCCTTGTTATATGTTTAAAAAATTTAAGCTGTATATGAATAGAGAACATCATACCTAGTTCACACCTCTTTTTCGCAGTACCTACAATTTGTGTACTATTCACAGAATCGTTTTCTTGTTCATGTTAATGAAATAGGTACAGTCATGACTACCATGGTGGGCTCCTAGTCATCCTAATTGGTTATCAGACCCCATCCTTCCTCTCTGTCTGTCAGCAGGTGCCCTGTAACTGATATAAGCCATGCAGACACTCCTCTTCATTTAAACCTCTTCCAGGTAGGACCCTGCATTTCCACATGAACAATGCCAACCTTACTTTCAGATGGTTTTTACTGTTCCTTGATAGTCTGTTAATGTATCTTGTCATTTGTATGCTGTATTGTAATCTTTCTGACCCTAACATTACAAAGATATAAATAAACTGACAGTATAATCTGGGGCTACTTGCATAAAATAACTTTTAAATGCATGAATGAATGATACAATTTGTGTGTGTGTGTGTGTGTGTGTGTGTGTGTGTGTGTGTGTGTGTGTGTGTGTGTGTGTGTGTGTGTGTGTGTGTGTGTGTGTGTGTGTGTGTGTGTGTGTTAACTTCTTTTGAGTAGTATATATATATAAAA